TGTTTTTGCTGATTATTCTTTTAATCTTCTGTTTTGACGTAGGTGAAGGTTGTGTTTTGTGCTGTATGGTGAAATTCAACTGAAGGTGAATATCTGACGGTGAAGTTTATCGAAGAATTGGTGAAGAGAAGGGAATGGTAAGGTTTGCATATTCGAATTGGTTGAATAGGAGCCTTAATTACAGTTTAAATTCACTATGTTTCTGTTTTGTTTAATATGTTTGTTGTTTGGCTTATCAACTAGAACAAACACATGTAAGACTATTTAAGAGCTTCTGAAAACATTTTGTGCCATGTTCATAAATTGTTTCAGCTTATTTATATAAGCTTTCTAGGACATCTTATGAAAATAGTTTGATGTTATTTTATCATTTGTCATAGAAATAGTTTATTTGTGAGCGCATTCCATAAGTATAGTTTTGATGAACTCTAACTGAAACATATCTTCTGTTAGTTAGGGGCTTCAAAGAATTGTTTTTACTAGTTTGGATAGCTGAAAGGGCGACATTTTTTTATGGAGTTTTTCATTTTTCAGAAAATTTATTTTAGTCTTGATTAATTAATTGGAGTTCTGAGCAATGCTGTTAAATATCCTATAGAGGCGTTATACGGCTATAGCGTAGAGGAATTTGGACAAACTGCTATTGTTCTGCAATATGCAGAACACTATTTAGTTGAAAATGTTGTCAAATAGTTGCTAGAGGTGCTATAGCACTATTGCATAGAAGAATTTTAACAATATGCTATTTTCCACTATCTGCATTGAAAACATTGGTGCTGAGTTGCAGTGCTTCCTACGTTCTTTTGATGGAAAATTCGATAAGCTTTACTAGTGTTAATTAGGATATCCTCTTGAGACCTGATTTTCAGCTTGTATTTGGTTTGCAGTTATGCAGTTAGGGCATTTGGCCATTTGTGAGTGTGGCTATGACTATCAGTTCTGTTGTTTGCTCTGCCTGCAAAGTTTTTGCCTATGTTGATTTTTGGATATGACATTTCCCAATTTTCTACTTCATGAGTCTATAAGTGATAGTGGCTGATTTTTCTGCTTCTCTTTTAAAATACAATCTGTCACCAGCTTTGATATTCTTCCTGAACTGGTTGCTGGTAGTTTTTATTTCTCCCTCATTTTCATACCATGTGTAACAGGCCGTAACATGCGCATTTTCCTATCATGCTGTGATTTTTGGTCTCTCCCTTTCCTACTGTTTTTATTCTCGATTCCTCTGTTAAACTTATCTCTACTAATACTTTCACTTCTCTCAGGTTCTTTGTTTTTTAAATGATTTTTTTCTTTTAATTTGTTGATAGGGGGGCTCATGCACAAAACTGTCTTTAGTAGTTCTTTTCTCTTAATACTGTCTTTTCTTATTCCCTCTTATGGTGTCAAGGTTTTGAATGCTTTTTCTCTTGTGTAGGCTAGGTGCTAGGGGATTGATTGGGCAGCTGATAACGGATGTAGAAATTGCTATTCATATTTTAAAGATTAATGAGGTTGGGGTTTCAATTGTTTACTATAAAACTGCATGTCTCTACAATAACTTTTATTATCGAGGCTTGAAATTGTCGTCACCTAGCGGCTATGCTTATTACTGAAAATCGACGTCTAATAGTGTGGATGTGGTTTCAATCACAGTTGCAATATTGTAGCAGAGTAGAGGTTTCTAAAATGTAGGAATGAAAATTGAATCTATTAAGACAAAATTTATTCAATCAATCTATCAAAAAAATTCATTCAAATTCAATCCATCCATCTTATAAAAATTAAATTAATGAATTGAATTAAATCTATCCATTTATATGCATGGATTAATTCAATCTATTTATTATATTTTAATGATCAAAATGTATTATCTTTATCTCCGTTTGATTTATTTTTAAAAATAGATTTTATAAAAAAAATTGTTTTACTTTTTCAAAAAAAGGAACAGATTTTTTTCGAAAAAGCAAAAAATCATTTTTTTTCAAAAATACAAAAAAATCAATCTTTTTTCAATTTTTTTTTTTGAAAATACAAAAATTCAATTTTTTCTAGAAAATACAAAATTTTTTTGAAATAACAAAAGAAACGATTATTTTTGGTAAAAAAATTCAATTTTTTCTCAAATGTATTAAAAAACAATTTTTTTCAAAAATATAAAAAATCAATTTAAAAAAAAAGATTTTTTCAATAATATAAAAAATTGGTAGTTTTCCAAAAATTAAAAAAAAAAAGATTTTTTTTTCAAAATTAAAAAAAAAATAGTTTTAAAAAAAAAAGTTTTTTTTTCAAAAAAAGAAAATTTTTTTTTGGATGAATATGTTAATAGATGAATTGAATAATTTAAAAAAAAATTTAATAAATTATTAATGAATTAATAGATTGTTTTAATCCATCAATTAACCATTCATATCCATCTAATCCATTCATTTTGTTACTTTAATAAAATTTTGATGTTCGGGTCTCAATTGCAAATGTGTGTCTTTTTAAAAACTCTGTTAATCTGATTTTGTACAAATCCACCTGTGAATTTTATAACACACATTCTTTGACTTTTTTACAATAGCGCGCGCACCCATATATATATATATATATATATATATATATATATATATATATATATATATATATATATATATATATATATATATATATATATATATATATATATATATATATATATATATATATATATATATATATATATATATATATATATATATATATATATATATGCAGCCATATCCTTTTTGTATTTAGGACTATTTAGATTATAACGATGCTTGGACTTATATTACCTTTCGAGATATGATTTTAGATTGGTGTGAATCGCGTATTCTTTCTTTTCGAACCGTAATTCCATTTCATCAGTAATGTTCTTCCTATATGCATCTATTTTTCTTATAAACAAGAAACCAAAACTCGGAGTCAATTTAGTGGTAAGATTCACGGATTCTTCTTATATGCATTTATTTTTGATTTTGACAAAAAACCAAAACTCGGAGTCAATAAATTGTCATTCGTTATGGAATTCTTTTATATATATATATATATATATATATATATATATATATATATATATATATATATATATATATATATATATATATATATATAAAGAAATGTTTTTGATGATTCCTATTGCTAAATATACGATACTGTGTCGCCTAAGAAGAGCTGCTACGATTTTAGTCACTGTCTTGAGATTTCTGCTACTTAGGCTATTACGCAATTTGAGCTCTCTTTAGATGCTTAGACCAACATAATCTTTGCAATTGATTTATGCTTGTTCCAATTGCTCTATATAATAGCATTGTAGCAGTTGTACTTCATTCATTAGTTAAGAATAGGGGTAGCAAAATGGATGAATTGGATGAATATGGATTGGATTGCTAATGGATGGATTAAAACAATCTATTAGTCCATTAAAATCTACTAAAATTTTATTAAAATTATCCAATCCGATCCATCCATTAAGAATAAAATCCATCCAATCCATCCATTAACATATTTTTAATGGATGGATATCCATCCATCCAACTTTTTTTTTTTATTTCGTAAAAATAAATTTTTTTTTTTCAAAAACAAATTAGTTTTTTATTCTAAAAAAACTAATTTTTTTTCCAAAAAAAAAAGTCGGTTTTTTTTTCGAGAAAAAAATTTATTTTTTTTTAAAAACAAATCAGTTTTTTATTCTGAAAAAAAACCGATTTTTCAGAAGAAAAAAATTGATTTTTTTTCCAAAAAAAAAGTCGGTTTTTTTTTTGAAAAACAAATCAGTTTTTTATTCTGGAAAAAAAACCGATTTTTTTCCAAAAAAAAAAGTCGGTTTTTTTTTCGAGAAAAAAATTTATTTTTTTTTCGAAAAACAAATCAGTTTTTTATTCTGAAAAAAAACTGATTTTTTTCCAAAAAAAAAGTTGGCTTTTTTTTCGAGAAATTTTTTTTTTCGAAAAACAAATCAGTTTTTTATTCTGAAAAAAAAACTGATTTTTTTTCCACAAAAAAAAGTCGGTTTTTTTTTTCGAAAAACAAATCAGTCTTTTGTTCTGAAAAAAAAAAGATTTTTTTTCAAAAAAATTAAATTTTTTTTTTTCAGAAAAAAAAATATAGTTTTTTAATAATTTTAAAAAAATAAATCTAATGAAAATAAAAATAATCCATTAGATCCTTAAAATATGTTGGATGGATTGAATCAATCCATGCATATGCATGGATGGATTGAGCATATAAATGGATGGATTTAATCCAATCCATTAACTTATTTTTTGTGTGGTGGATGGATTGGATGAATTTTTTGATGGATGGATTGGATGGATTTTACCTTAATGGATTTAATTGCCACCTCTAGTTAAGAAGCCACTTGGATTGTTATCAACTTGATAATCTATAATGCAGCATTTTATGTTTCATTCATTAGTTAAGTAGCCACTTGGATTGTTATCAACTTGATAATCTATAATGCAGCATTTTATGTTTCGAGAAATGATATGCAAGTGAACTTTGAGTGTTTGAGGTATTGGGAGGATTTACTCTTGAGTTAACAGGCGCCTCCAATTTTTTTTAATATCAAAAACATCTCTCATGTGAAAAGTTCGGTAGACAAATTAAAAAATCTGTTATGAATTGATGAACATTTTTACTGAGTTTTTCAAAAAACACCATTGAATACATGATTTTTTTTAATATATCCCTACAAAATTTTGTAGTGTTATATTTTAATGGTTGAGTTTTTCTTACACTTTTGTAAGGTTGTGATTGCATCGACAATTTTATATGATTCATAATGATTTAAAACTTGTATAAATATGCATTATACATTGTTAAGATAAACAATGTATAATGTTTCAATCTAATATCTCGTATTTGTGTACTTTAATAGTGTGAAATCTCATGTTGATATTAGGGTCATAGAGGACACCCTTCTTGATCTTTTAAAATTCAAACTAGATAATCTCTTACGTCATACCAACAACAGAATGGTGGTTAAGATTAAGTATCGATTGATAACGAAGGAAATG